AATATTAGCGATTTCAGTGTTTTCTTCATTTGTTTACAAGAAAAAGTATTATTGCTTTAGCTGCATATATTTACTGCTATTTGCCAGTTACAAAATAAACATAAAACTAAAAACGGCAAAAACCGAAATTCGGTTGTTCAGTTGACTTTATCCTGTGGTAAGCGGCCCAGGGTGTTCATATGGGAATTTTTTCATCCCGTCTACCTATATATGATTTAGGCAAATTCAACCCAGATCTCGGCAAGCGTGGGCGAGCTCGCTTTCTCATCTTCAACTTCAAATGCCACATCACATATTCAATTTGACCAATGCCTCAATGGTAATGTTATGTTGTTCTTTTTAACAGTTTCTTTTCAAAAATAGTAACGCCAGGCACCAACGTGGTCTCTCGTCTCCGTAGGAAGTTGCTACTTGCTAATGCGGAATAGCACATTTTATGTAATGTAACGCGATACATTAAAAGTTCCTCAGGCCGAAGTTTTTGTAATCCAATACACATGACATACAGTAAATGTATTTGTATTTCCTTTCGGCCATGTATGAACCGCTGAACGCGTGTCCTTTGTTCATAACATCTTACCAACCAGCTCTTGTGTTGTCGGTCCCAATTCACGGGGTCGGACAGAAGTAAATATTAATTCTTATACCCAAATTTTGGGACCGAGTTTTCGCACAGTATGAAGGAAGAATGGGACCGACTTTTAGTGACATTCGGACGCTAGGGGGAGTTTCGCACCCCACCCCCCCCCCCCCCCCCCTAATGTGCGCCCCTGTTTCTCATATGAACGCAATGCAAAATTTTATATAAGTGCTAAAGTGGGATCGTATGAACTGGTCCTTAGACGGATATACGTCGGCTAACATGCAACTGATTTCAGCCGGTATCACGTTTAGGAAAGATCACCTCACCACCTGATGGGACCAGATTGACTTTTTTACCTGGATCAACTGAGAGAATACAGTGGACATTTGATGATGATATATCTTTAAGCGTCAAAAGAAGGCGATTTCGGCGGTCTTGGTATTTCACAAGTAGTGACGGTTCGCAAAGAGAACGACTAATTACAACAATATATCTTGATCGTGAACCTCGAATATTGAACACCACTTTACCTGGGGTTGCAATAGAAAAGCCAGCAACATTGGTTTTAAAAAACATTGATCTCAAAAATAATGGGACTTATCGGTTTCAACTAGTAGTAAGTAGTCCACAGTCTAAACCGGCGGTGACTACATCTCACGAAGTTGTGGTTTTTATTGCAGGCAAGTGGTCCACCATTCATCATTGATATTATTTTTCTCCAAATTCTTCTCTAATTCTTGTGTATCAACGGTCAACAAACTGTAATTAAAGTATTAGCCAACAGCAAAGAGTTTCCTGAGACAAGATGTAGGCGACGTATATAGTATTGCATAAAAGGGAGATTTTTATAATTATAATTATAATTATACAGCAAATCAACATATCGAATTTATAAATATATCGAAGAAAGCTAGGTATCGAGAGACGAGAACATTTTAAAAGTTTTTTTATCTGAATGCATAGGATAATAGCTTTTCTAAATTTCCTTTAACTATTTTAAATTCTCGAACTTAATTTCAGCAAATTTACTGTAGAAAATTTCTTTACCGACTCCGATCTTGCACGATCCAATCCCAGATATATCTAAATGAATCAACAATACCTTTATGAAAGGAAATATTTACAAAAATTAGACGTGGTTAGCCGTCATTACTGTACATTAATTTTATTTCAGTTACGCCAACTGTGACATTGAGTTGTTCCAGTTCTATCATCGTAAATGAAGGTGATGACTTCACATGTGTATGTAGAGGTGAAGGTGGAAACCCTCCAGCCAATGTAACTTGGTATAAAGATGATGTCCAGATTGGTGGAACAGGAAAAGAAGAACGAACATTGACTCTAAGTAATGTTGATGGGACAGATAGTGGACAATACAAGTGTATGGCCCAAAGTCACATCAATGCAACCGATGAAAAATCAATCGAAGTAAAAGTAAGACTTTATTGTAAGTATATATAATTGACACACGACCATTAATACTGGACAATGTTTCAGCTTCCCACTGCTTTAAATAGTACTGTAACTATAGTATGATAAAATTTTAAATTGGGAATCTAATCTCATGATAACCTTGCCTAAATGCCCTTACTCGTCAGGAATGCACCAGATATCATATCTGGCCAGATAGTGAGATAATTTCATCACGTATTCGGCTGGATCGACCCCGGACATTGTTTACATATTAAAGGTTCGGGCCTTCTTTTCCGTTGGAAAAAGTATTGTTTCAGTTCATTAACGCATTTCCGCCCAAAATATAAAGTTTTACATTTACATTATCTTTTTAAAATGTATTACTAACAAAGACGTTTTGTTTCTTCACAGTTAAGCCTAACAAGACAGCCATTACGTCACCAGACACAGCTGTAGTTGGTAAAAAAGTTATCATAACCTGTGAATCTGATGGTCTTCCGGAACCAAGTTATACCATAATTCATAATGACACTGAGGTCAGCAGTAAAAAGACGCACACCATATCTGAAGTGAAACGGAGTGATGCTGGGTTGTATCAATGTGTTGCAGCGAATAAACTTGGCAGTAATTCAAAGAGCCATTGTTTGGCCGTCGTAGGTGAGATTTAAGTATGATAACCCACTATTATTCATTCAAAGTAACCAGGGACGTCGCAACTGGGGGGGGGGGTATGTTTGGGGATGCAAATCCCCCCAACTGTGAACCTCAGGCAAAAATCAGGTAAATTCAAGTTAAAATTTTGACATTTTCGGGTAACATTTGCGTAATACGAAGTCATTATTTTTGTGAAATGATAACCATTTTTGAAAATTCAGTCAATTTACATCCAAGTCGTTCGCGAATTTGCTTTAGAAAACTGCATGGCAGAAATGCAGTCCTAGTGCTTCAACAATGTAAAAACAAAAAGCTTTATTATAATTATTACTCTTCAGGTAAATTTCAGTAACATTGAAGTTCAAATTTCAGGTGAAATCCTCCGACACCCCCAACTTCAGATTCTTCGCTACGTCCCTGAAAGTAACCAACTATTTCAAAACCAAAATGTTAACATTTAATGATCTTCTTTTAACCGTGACCTAGATCTATAGGCACTTGCTCATATCGTATCAAAATGCACAAATCAAAATGCACAAAAATGTCATGGTATCTTTCCATTTTTTTGCATCCATTTAAAAGTTTTGGCTTTTCAACTAATTTTTAACTCGTGCATTTCCCAAACCTGCCTGTTTAGGAGAGCCTGCAGCTTGTAAGAAGGTGGATTGTGAGAGCAGCGCAGAAACTGTTGTAGTAGTATGGCATATTGTTGTGACTTTGGTGTCTGGAATTATCATTGGCATTCTCTTTTCCTACATTGTCTGGTCTTCTCATCGTCGTTGGTTTAGAAGCAGAAAGCCAGAACGAAACCCTGAAACAAACACAACTGCAGCTGATACAACTTATCAAGAGCTTAATCTTACACAAATGAACAAAGAAAATAATTATCAATCGTTGAGATTGAATATTGCAAGTAATGACGAGGAATCAACATATACTGAGTTGAACAAAACCAGAGACGAAGAAAACTACTACCAATCTTTAACTAATTGAACCTGGAATATTAAAATTAAATCATGAGTGTTCAATCTTTAATTTAATCCTGGAATACTAAATCATGACTGTTCAATCTTTAATTTGAACCTGGAATATATTAAATCATGTGTATCAAGGCCTTGATGACCATAGTCAACAGAATAAAGAACACGGAAGTGCTGGAGAGACTCGACTGTACAACAGAACTCATTACTCAGATTTCTATTGGTTTACGTCAGTTTGAGCCCTGTTCAAACGAGTTGGATTGAGTTGATTTAAAAGAATTGGATTGGGTTGACTTAAAATTCTCATCCACAATTTCCATCCACATTTAAGCCAACCCAATCCAATATCTTCCAACAACAGCCAACATTACCCAACATTGTGCTCAAACGAGACCAGCATTACAATTTTAATTTGCGTCCAACAATGTTGGACCAACATGTTGGCCTTGTTCAAAGAGGCCTTTATATATAGTCAGTTACTATTGTCATGTGTGTATTTTTTTGTCAACTATTTAACCAAACAGCTACTGTATAGATGAAAGTCTGTTCGAAATGTTTAGTTGGTATTCACCCCATTATTTCATGGTGGGCTCCATATTCAAGGCTATATTCAGTAATTGTTTTCTGGCGGTATACTATTAGTTTCCGGACTGGCAGATCCCCTATTGCAGTGCCGGTTGGTTATATGTGGGAATGAGATAGTGTTCGCAACCGATGAGTAATTATCTTATCATGCAAGGTATGATGAAAGTACAGTGTAGAGTGTATTGGGTAAGGTGTAGACCCTAATGAATTCACTAGTATAGACTTCAGAAATCTATAGACCTTTCTTATAATGACGCCAAACACAGAAAACCAAAATCTATGCGATGCCCCACGTGACAATGTAAGTCGTTGGCGAGCCAATAATTTCATAGAAACATTTGCAATGCGAATTATCGCTAAACATTGTCTTACGTCATTACGAGAAAGGTCTATTCACAGGAGGCAGACAGTGGGTCTGTAATATTTGCATACAATATCCGATCGTATTTGAAAAGCCGGAAGAACTTTACAAACACATTATATAGCGTTTGGTGCCCTTTTTTACAGAAATAGGCTACTATATTATAGCAGGTATGGTATAACTATCCAATTATATTTGTTGTAATAGACTACTGCATGGTAATTGTTCAGGAATTGCATTCATTTACTTACATAACCGGTGCATACATGTATCACTGTCTTCACCGGCACTGTAGCTATTAGATAATAGATAACCGGTACAAAATTCAACTGATTAAATTATGTAAATTCATCATCGAAAGATTTACTTACTATAAAAAGTCATATTACTTTATATTGTCTGTTTTCATGTAGATTTAAACAAGATGACAAACTGTGTATTTGGAACTGCCATTCTATTTGCTTTAAGTTTGCTGCCATTTCCGTGTGAGGGTATGTTGTTGTATGTTGTTTCCATGCATGCATGTGAGTCAGGCATGATCTGTGCCGGTGTATAGGTATTGCCAATAATAACGAGCTTTCGTTGGTAGGACCTGAAAAATATATGCTCGTCTTAAAATTATATCGGACGAATAAATCAAGCAGAGTTTAGGGACCATTCATTATTTATGACGGGGGTGGGTGGCAAAATTCAATTAACAACTAAACAAAATGTCCTGCCCTCCCCGTGCATCACAAAAAAATTGAATGACCCCCTTCACATGAATTCCAGGAAAAACAGTAATCCCCCACCACCACCACTACCACCGATGTATACATAGACACATGTCCAGGAATCAGATCTACATTTACTTGTGCTTTCAGCAATTAAGTATGCTTAGCTAATCAGAACAAACTCTGCTAATCCAAACTTTAGACTGGCCAGAAGAATTTTGATAAAAATTAAATCCAGTTTCAGTGTATTTTCTACACTACAAGTATATATTCTCTACTATAGCACACATTATGTACTTACTAAATTAAACCATGTATACTAGTATATATACTATACAGGGTGTATATAAAAAAAAGGTAATCGAACTTCAGCGCGCTATTATACGTGAATTACTTGGCGTATGAACAATTAGTTTTCATATTCGGAAAGATCAGGCTTTTAGCTATTGAATGACATGCTTTTCATGCCAAGTGGAGAAAAAATAAGCATGTATACAAGGCCGATTAAAAATGTTAGTCAAAATCGCATATTTTCACCTCTGTGCCTAATTAAAACAATGCATAACAAAAGAAAAAGCAATTAATCACGAACGTGTCGTAGATTTATTCCGACTTAATAATTATTATGAATATATGTGTGCAGTTTAATGAAGTGAAATTCATCAACTTAAATCCTAAAGGGGGTTCATTTTCAATGGTTTTAGACCCAACTCTCAACGGTGAAAATATGCGATTCTGACTAACATTTTTTATCAGATTCGTATTTGCTCATTTTTTATCCATTTGGCATGAAGAAGATATCATTCAACAGCTAAAAGCATAATCTTCTCGAATGTGAAAAAGTATCGTTCACACGCAGAGTAATTCAGATACAATAGCGCGCTGAAGTTTGATTACCTTTTTTTTTATACACCCTGTAGTGTATACAGTTGGTATATGCCAAACTCGCTCTGGACGTAATGTTGCTACATCGCTTACTCGTTATCGTGACTGTCTTTTTTATTAAAATGTACATCAGGGAAACATGACAAAAATTTATGGCAAGTTCATGGCAAAAGTTATAAGGAAGATGTTCGATTGTTTTTCATATTAGCTGCGCGCATTGCATTTTGGGTATTTGCGCATTGCATTTTGGGTCTATCTGTCGGATTAAAATTGAGAATTTTGCCAGCTACACTAATAGCTGCCTTGCTCGCTCCTTGCGGTAGCAATAACCGTTACATGTCGAATTTCCCCCCACTAAAATAAAACAACTGGCCCCCCCCTTCTGAACCAATATTTTTAGGTGGTCCCCCTTTTTGGTCAAAAAGACCCACCCCCTTTTTTGCCAGCCCACCCCCTGTCATAAATAATGAATGGTCCCTAATAAACTGGTAAACTTGATAGTTGTTGATAAGTTAAAAGAGACTGAGATACGATTGAGGATTTCCGAACTTTTCAGGTTTATCCGTCCAATGGTTTTTGTTTCATATTTATATACCAGGCGGAATCATGTTTTTGGGGCCGCTGTAATTGGCAATATAGCTGTTGTGGTTTCCCAGCCAATGAATGTATAAGTATGATGGCAAAGTAAATAAATAAATAAATTAGACGAGTTTCCTGTCTTAGGCCTTAGGGGCTGTTTTATATAATCGAGACGTCTTCCCTAGCGGCACAGAATACTACACAGAAGGCCATCTCCATTGTTTTTAGCGTAAGCGCTATTCGTCATGATTCGTCACTCAGCAAGTACCGTAAACAGAAGCAGTCCCCCCCTAGAAATACTAAAAATGGCGAACGTCCAGGGGGGTGACTGCTTCTGTTTACGGTACTTGCTGAGTGACGAATCATGACGAATAACGCTTACGCAAAAAACAATGGAGATGGACTTCTGTGTAGTATTCTGTGCTAGCGGAACGAATATTTTCCTGCGTTCGAATTCACATGGAGTTTTTCATCCCGCTTGCCGAGATAAAATTACAATGTTATAGTTCTATCATTAGTGAGTGCAAAACTTCTACATTTTTCTTCTTACTTAGTGTTTTTCTTCATTTTTTACAAGAAAAAGTATTGCTTTGGCTGCATATTTAATACTTGTTTACAAGACAAACATAAAACTAAGTAAAAAAGTGTTAAATTAAACGGCAAAAACCGAATTACGCGGACGGACATATATAGGTCTTTTAATATGAATTCGGCTAATATATGCAACTGATTTGTCGATTTAGGAAAGATCACCTCACCACCTGATGGGACCAGGTTAACTTTTTTACCTGGATCAACTGACAAAATACAGTGGACATTTGATGATGATATATCTTCACTGCGATATCGAAATTATCGTTTCACAAGCAGCAACGGTTCGCAACCAGAGCAACTTGCAAGAATATACAGTAATGGTAAAACTCGAATATTTAATAGCAGTTTACCTGGGATTGCAATAGAAAAGCCAGCAACATTGGTTTTAAAAAACATTGATCTCAGAAATAATGGGACTTACCGGTTTGAACTTCGCCATTCTTTTTCTCGCATAGCCCTTGGGCGCCGTACGCGTTTTACATCCAATGAAGTTGTGGTTTTTGTTGCAGGCAAGTATACCGCCATTCAAAATAATTTTTCATTCAAAATAATTCTGCTTTAATTCAGCGGTCGACAAATAGGATCAAGTTTATGTATTGCTTAATATCATGCATCAGCAGAATTTCATAGTCACTGCAAATCAAGACTCTATACCGCCAACCTTGGTATTAAAACTTTCGCGTATATGTTAAAGAAAGGCATAGAGAGAATTTTAAATATTTTTTGAATTTGTAAGAATATAATAGCCTTTTTCCAAATATGGCTCAAATGAATCAATTATTATGCGGTGTTTCAGTGCGGCATGATTACTGCGGTTATATACATTAACGCCTGTATTCTAAAAGCTCACTCACACTCCATGAGTGGAGGTTAAATCTGAGCTTCTTTCAGGCATTATTCCATTAAAATAGCGTGTCCTTGTACACACTTTGTGTCCTTGTAAAAGGCGAATGTGCCCTTGTAAATTGAAAAGTGTGTACTTGAAAATATATTAAACTGAAAATATATTAATGTAATCCACGCAAAATTGCCAAAGATTTTAAAAATTCTGTTCTCAGAACTCTGGAAATGCCATTTCAGAGACCCCCTTAAAAGCTCGCGTTTTCGACGCTAAACTTGTGGCTTCGGCACTCTTTCTCGTGAGTCTGCGCATTTATACCAAAAATACGCCTCTGAAGGCAAAGTGTGTCCTTGTAAAAATTCCGTATTTTAATGCCTGGCTTCTTTTGAGTGTCAATGCTCTTTTTGAATAGCTGGATGGTGAGTAGTCACACAGTAAGATATGACACTAACCATCCAGCTATTCAAAAACAGCAATGACACTCGAGAGAGACTCAGATTGAACTTCCACTCATTGAGTGTGAGTGTATAAGTGAGCTTTTAGAATACGGGCGTAAGTAATGTTTCAAATCCGACTACGAGGATTGGATCAAAATGCGAGGACTTGAAATCTAGTCCAATCCGAATTGGAGGATTTGGAATGACATCTCATACGAATAAATCACTACTCAGAGTGAGGTGAATTAATTTTGATCCAGTCCAAGGACTGAATTAATTTTGATCCAGCCCTAGGACTGTAACAATATACTTCATTAGGTATCCAATATTATCATGTGAGCAAAATAAAGTAATATGGCTGGCTAATTTGCTCATGAATTATTAGGGAGTTTTAAATTTTTATTTCAGTGAAGCCAACTGTGACAATGAGTTGTTCCAGTCCTGTCACAGTAAATGAAGGTGATAACTTTACATGTGTATGTAGAAGTGAAGGTGGAAACCCTCCAGCCAATGTAACTTGGTATGATAAAGATGGCGTCCAGATTGGTGGAACAGGAAAAGAAGGACAAACATTAACTCTCAGCAATGTTGATGGAAGAGACAGTGGAACATACAAGTGTGTGGCCCAAAGCCACATCAATGCAACGGAGGAAAAACCAATCGAAGTAAGACTTAATTGTAAGTATAATATTGATGCTCTCCCATTAGACATAATGTTTCAAGCATTGTAACTTAACAAGCATTGTAACTAGAATTTTAAAATATTAAATCAGAAATCTTTTCCCTTGTAGTCTCTCCTCAATGCCCATTATAGGGATTCACTTTTGAACGAGGTTGGCCGGATGCACCAGACATCAAAACCACCGGATTGTGAGATAGTTTCATCCGGTATCCGGCCTAATCGATGCCGGATACTATTTGTACATTGTATATAATATTTAGGTCGTACACTATAGTTGCATGCCTGTTTCCACCATTTTTGATCGAGGTTTTGTTTCTTTACAGTGAAACCTAGCAAGACAGCCATCACGTTTACACCTGAAAAAGTCGTAGTTGGTAAATCAGTTACGATAACATGTGAATCTAATGGTTTTCCTGAACCAAGTTATACCATAGTCCATAATGACACTGAGATCAGTAACATGAAGACGCTTAACGTATCTGGGGTGGAGTGGAGTGATGCTGGATCATACCAATGTGTTGCAATCAATAAACTTGGACGTCATTCAAAGAGCTATTGTTTGACCGTCGTAGGTACAAGACATTTTTTAACTATATAACTGGGGGAATATTGGGAATTGCAGTCCTAGGGGTAGAAAAATACAAAACCAGATCCTTTACTATTAAATGCAATACACACCAAACTTTTTGTTACCAACAACCATCTATCATTTCTCCACACTCTTTATAGTCAACCACGTGCTTTATAGTATGATCCCTTTTTGTAGATCACCCCGTAGATTTTAGTATATGCATAAATAAATTGGTGCAAGTATCTGGTCCTGGAACTCATGAATGAATTGGTTTTCATTTCCTTCTAACCTAACTTCACTGATACATACATGATCAGAACAACAGAGAAACTATGTTTAATATTATTTTAAAGAATCAACACAGCATCGATCAAAATGCCATTAGCAAAATTTTAATGCCTTAATTTCCCGACTGTTTCTGACATTCTGTGTTTAGGAGAGACTGCAGCTTCTAAGCCTAGCAAAGTTGATAGTGATAGCAGTGCAGGAACTGTTGCACTATGGCATGTCGTGGTATCTTTGGTGTCTGGAATTATCATTGGCATTCTCCTTTCCTACATTGTCTTTGTATTGTATTTTCGTCGCCGTTGGTGTAGGAACAGAAACTCTGAACGAAACCCTGACGATCCGACAACTGAAGCTGATACAACCTACCAAGCCCTGGATCTTAAAAAAATGAACACAAATCTAGAAAATGATTATCAATCGTTGCAAGTGAATGACGCATCAAATTACGAAAACGTTACTTAGCCGCATTGAATAAGATATGAGTTGAAAACGCTTATGACTTATAGTTTAAAAATTTAAAGTTTGTGAGTTCACGGAAACCAGGTGTAATATCACTATCAGTCATGGTTTGCTTGCTACTCTTGTTTTAATAAATGAATGCAAAGCCCAGTCGACTATTGCATTCACGACTCAACATTTCGACACTCCAGTCTAGTGTCTTCATCAGGGGTGATTCTTATGTACCTATGGGATGACGTCATCTGCCAACGAGATGGATATATTCTTGTCATTGTCACTAACAATTGCAATGGCCAAAGATGTTGCCCGGCCATTGCGATTATTATATATAAATATTAGTGATCGACTGATCGTGCTTTGAATAGGGATGACGGTATACTTAATACTTTGCCACAAGACTTTATTAAAACCGAGCGGCGAGCGAAAACATGTTTAATATGTTAATCAATATTATTAATCAACGAGTTTATGTTAATCAATATTATTTTTATTCAATAAATAAATTAGACAAACAAACTTGTTGTAATTGTGTAATTATTTATACTTTCTCGCCGATACAAACTTTCATGCAACCGTTACAGTAAATTTTTACGTGAGAATTGCGGTATTTCGAGTCCAGTACTGGATATTATATGAGATCAGTGACACGTAAAACGATTCCTTGCCGAAAGTTTCCGAGCTTTATTTTGAATTTCTTTTCGTATTTGACCAAGATGGCGAGCAGTACAGGCAAATGGGAGGTTGCTGGAAAAGATGGCAAAGCACGCAAAAATACCGCAGGAAACAAGAAAAACAAGACAAAAGTGAACGAAGCGGACTTGCCAAAGTTAGATATAAAAGGTCAGTTGGTTAGTTTGTGTTTTAAGACTGCGTTTATCCAAATTGAATGTTGTACTTTGGAACTATGAGTCATGATTCACGAATGATGGTACTTGGCACCCAAAATACTATTGTATTTTTACATCCCTCTGAGCGGTTTAGTAGACGAATAGTAAGGTCCGTTCATAGCTGAGACTTATTATGGGTTTCTTAAATATATAATTTTTCACGTAAATACTGTAATTGTTTAGAATTGTAAACAATAATTTTTAAATTCAAATTTAGATGATTATAATTTATTCATTTATATAAACATATAATTTATTTGTTTATTAATTTCTAAGTTGTATTGCACCCTACTTTGTTATTTTACTCTGTCTAATGCCAGACAATTTAGACAATTTTAAATTCCAATTAATGGTTTTTTGAATGATTTTTGAAGATTTACCACATGTGTATACTATCAATGTAAAAACTGAACTCTTAATAGCATTATTGGTTAGGCATAAAAATACCTGTGGTTCCGGTTCCTGACCGACCCTATTTTTTTCTGCCGACCCTATTTTTTTTTCAATGCGATTGACTGTGGGACTCTCCAGGCGGTTGTGGGCTGCTCATACAGCGTGCCAAAAAGGCGTCTGTTGTCACACTAATTATTGGACCAAATTGCCTAAATCCGTCCATAGGAAATACGAATCTCTAGTTAATATTGATGTCGGGACTCTACTGAAAATCGCCCAGCAAAAAACTGCCAAAACCATGAAAAAAATATTTAAAAAATACTTTATTTCCAACCTACCGACCCTAATTTTTTCACAATATGAAACCGGAACCACAGGTATTATTTTTTACCCCTTATTATAGATTTCCCATGTGGTAATTTTCCGGTATTTGCAGTCATGACAAGCTCAAATTTTTAGCCCAGTCTTGCACTCGGACAATAAACCAAATAAACAAAGCTTGCAAGCCCTAGGAATGTTTGGTATGAGAAATTTCCGGTATCGGTATACCGAAAAAATTATACCAATATTATCGGTATACCGGTTTTCCTTTGATAATTATAAAGGAAAATTCTTTAATGGAAGTTTGAAGGAAATTTTGAGTAATTCTAAAAGGGAAAAAACGATCATTTCGAAGCTGTTTCGAACATGTTTCGAACGACATACACATACTCAGTGTAAAATCTCACTGAAGTGGAAATTCTAAATCATTGCAGTAGAAAGTTCTTTGAATTGCCATTCAGTAGTAAAATAAGGTTATGGTTTTGCCATATAGTTGGTAAATTTAACACAGTATACCGAAAAATTCCGGTATATCCGAAATTTCATTATATCGGTATGGTTGAATATCCGGTATCGATATACCGATATTGATTTAATACCGATATTTTCGGTATATCGGTATACTGAACAGTCCTAGCAAGCCCTTGCCCACCACTCAACTCACAGTGTCCTTGAACGGCTTGAAGCTTCAAGCTTCATTCTTTGCATACTGGCTTCGCTCATCAATTAATAGCCAGAGTTTCAGTAGAGCAAAACAGTATTGACCCAAATTATATATATACCCAAATTATTTTTAGCCAGGACTTCAAACGGATACCTGAAGGGCTGCAAAATAACAACTGTTCCATGACCACTGTTGCATACACGCTTTCCAGAGTGGAGGGGCACCCCCGTGGAGCTGGTGCAGATAATCTGTCTCCAGCCAAAGGCGTATAATCCATCTCTCAAGCATGAGAAAACAAACTGTTACAGTAGTTTGTGGACTTGGGCGGTTTTTGAAACGAAAAACCATAAACTGACATGAAAAAAACAATAAAACTGTTTTTTTGTCCACCATCTTGACTCTTGAAACCCCTTTTGATTACTTTGTTATTGAATTTTCTGCCGGAACTAAGGTCTATTTTACTTTTTTTTTCTTCTTGTTTCTAAAATACTTCATAACTAAAATGAGGAAGAAAATGAAATCAGGAAATCAAAAGAAGATTGACTACACACTATCCGCATTCTAAACAAGATTTATCGCTTTTTAGTTATGTGTATAGGTCTCACATATCGTGTGAACACCAGGAAATGAAAAGAAACGACGATTGGCTACCCACCATTTGCATTCTGATCAAGCTTTGTTGCTTTTTAGTTGTGTGTATAGGTCTCACATATCGTGTGAACGAAAGGCAATGTACGATTCTTTGGTCGTCCGGACCGGTGTTCTTGTTTTTTCCCCCCGGTTTTCCAATATAGGCAAAACCGTAAAACCGGTTTTGAGGAAAAAACGATATTTAATTTAATTAAACCGTATTTTACTGTCCCAACCTAGTAGTTTGATGATTTGTCTGAATAAAAATTGCAAATTTGACGTTTGAAATTTAGCTCCAATTCCTGAATCGAAGACACAATTTGATGCTTTCAATAAAAAGGAGCCAGAAACTTTTGTGGTTCCCAAACAAGAATCGAGTGACAACGATTCTGATGGTCGTACAAACGCTCGTAATGACGAGAGAAGCAGGAAGATAGAAAAGAAACACAAACACAAGGAACGACAGCCAACCTTTGAAGATATTTTTGCTGAAGCTTTGAAGAAGGTAATTAAAAGTTCATTTTGTTCAGTGGTGGACACTATAGGTGGGCTATGGGGGCGGCGGCAGATGCCCTGTCCCCAATAATTTTGAAAGTAAGACTTGTAATAGTCACAAGCATTGTTTAGGAGCAAGTGGGCAAGTGGCAAGCATGCAATCACACATGACATTTAAGTTATCTTATTCTATGTATACTATTAAAACTCAGTATTAACCCAGTATTATTATTTTATAGCAATCAATATTGACAGTTTAGGGTTATAATAATTTTACTGTACATTAAACAACAACGTGCTAATTGACATGATTAATTGATTATCTAAGAGCAGTAACTATTGGTTTTCCCAAAACAATAGTTGAAAATCACAAGGAAGTAAATTATTTATGCAAATTATAGTCATAAAATAAACGCATGTATTAGCTGTATTTTATATAAATAAACCTTTTATCAATACTGAAAGTATACTAAAAAACAATCATATATTCATGGCATTTAGAAATTGGAATGGTTGCGCATTTGCCGGCTCCCC